GCAGTTCAGGGAAATGGTTGGCAGATCATCACTAAGTGAAGCCAGGGATGTAAGATTAATTAACACTCAGTGAGTTCAGTCAGTGCAAATTACTGAAATAACAAAATAAAGAAGAAACTCATAAGATTACCTTGTAAAGTTGGGGTAAAATCACTTGACAAAAATTTAGCGATTCAGACTGAGAAAAATAGCTCAGTTGTTAAGAGCCTTGTTTAGTTGCCAGCACTCACATGACACCTCACAATGTTCTGTAACTCCAGATCCAGGAGATCTGACATCCTCTACTGACTGCTGCAGGCACCAGGCATGCATGTGGTGCACAGACATACCTGCAGGAAGAGCACTCACATATATAAGATAATTAAAAAAAAAATCAACAGCCCCTTTAATAAAGTCTCAGTCGACAGAGAGCACTTTTTGCTAAAGGGTGTTAGAGCTTTGCTCACTGGTAACAGCTTCAGCAGCTCCCTCTCTGATAGGCATCTCAGTAAAGATGGTCATTCTTCCCACTTGTGTTCAGTAGCATGTTCTAGATAATGAGAAAGTGAAATAAATGAAAAGAAAAAAATGAAAGGAAAGCCGTTTTTACTTGGAGATGATGGGACCACACAGAAAAGTGGTTTGGATGCTGTGAAGACACTGCTAAAAGCACAGTGAATTCAGCATGGATATAGCATACAAAATTATTTGTCTTTTAAGAAAAATAAGCTGGGTGGTGGTGGCACACTTCTTTAATCTCAGCACTCGGGAAGCAGAGACAGGTAGATCTCTGTGAGTTTGAGGCCAGCCTGGTCTACAGAGTGAATTCCAGGACAACAGGACAGGCTTCAAAGCTACAGAGAAACCATGTCTGGAAAAAAAAATCAAAAATAAATAAATAGATGAAATTTTTGCTTTGTTTCATATTTTTTTGTTGATGGTGTCCTTCTGGAGCCTAACAGAAATGTAATAGAGCCATTGATCATATTGAGCGTATTTTATAATTGTCCACCTTCCATGATTTTATAATTACTTGTATATTGCTAGCTGATTTTGTTGAGTTTTGAGATATAAAATCTCATTTTGTTTGGTTGGGTTGTTTTGTTTGTTTGTTTGGTTGGTTGGTTTTCTTGAGATGGGGTCTTACTGTGGATCCTTGACTGTCCTAGAACTTGTTATGGAGACCAGGCTGGTCTCAAACTCAGAGATCCACCTGCCTCTGTCTCATGACTATTGGGATTAAAGGCATGTGCTATCATACTTGGATATATCAAAATTCTTACCATTTGCAAATAACAATATTAGATTTTTTTTATTTTAGCAATTAAAGCTCATGTTTTGGTCTTTGCATAAGAAACTATGAGAAGGGAATTTACTTGAATATAAAGAACCCTCACTAAACATGGTAAAGAAGTATGGTCTTCTTGCCTCACATTACCTCACAGTGTGCAGCAAAGCCATCAGGAAAGCCACCTTTCCCTCCTATACTTCTTCTCCTGTCACTTTCAGCATGTTGGCAATGTCACCCGCAACCAACCATGTCTGTATTCTAGCCACATGTGAATGAGAGGTTCAAGGGGGAAAATATGAACGGTTGACTGCGGCATAAAGGACTTTGTCCTTTTCCAAAGGGATACACACATTGGGGGACATGGGCCAGGGATGTCATTGCCAGCCATTGCAGATCTAGAACATCATAGCTGCAGCATATGGAGGGGGGAGGCTCTTCACCTCACAGTAGACAAGAACCAAGTGGGCTCTCAGGATGACTTTCAAAGGCATGCCTCCAGTGATATGTTTCCTCCACCCAGGCTCTCCCGCTTAAGTTTCTAGGACCTTCCAAAATGGCACCCCCGCCTGGAAACCAACAGTTTGACACATGAACTTGTGAGGGGCACTTCCCATTTCAAACCGTAACGTATGTGTTGGGGAGAGCTTTTGTGCTCTTTTTACAGCAGCCGTGGGGGATAGTTTCTATAAACTTGTCTCCCAGTGTTCTTAACTACACTAGATAGATACTGGGACCTTCACCTTACAGATTTGGGAAGCAGATAGGTTTAATAGCTTCAAGCCACATCAGCTGTTTGTCACTGTCACCACTCCCCAACCCTACACTGCACTGGCTCCTTATAAACGCTAGTTATTGCTGATCCCATTGGCATGGCATTACTGAAGAACAAAAACATCCATGCTATTTAATTGTTATATAAACTGGAATACAAGTTCAGTTGAGTTCTTGTTTGCTTATGATAATATTTATACATGCATGTGTGTGGATGTATGTTCTAATGTGTGTTAGCAAATGTGTTCGTGCATCTATGTGCACATGGGTGGTGGCTAGAAGCTGGCATTCAGTGTTTTCCTCTGTCATTCAACACTTTTTTTATTAAGGCAGTCTTTTGCTGTATCCAGAACTCCCGATTCCACTCAGTCTAGTCAGCTACCTCACCCAGGGATTCACCTGAGAACTGGGATTACAGTTGGCCACCATACTTGCCTGGTTTTTCATATGGGTGCTGAGGTTCCAATTCCAGTCCTTACTATTGCACAGAGTGCCTTGCCCACTGACTCATCTCCTCAGGCCCCTGGTTGGATAGTTCATAGTCTTAAGCTGACCCCAGCCTTGTCCCTCTCAGACTTTCTTGTGTGAAAGTGTTGGGGATTTTGCTGTTCTTACACCTTGAAGTTTATGTCTTACTGGCTCATTAGTATCTGGATAAATGTCTAATCAAGGTCTTATTGGTCTGATCTATTCCTGCATGACCAGTTTTCTCCTTGTACAGCCCCTAGGAGGGTTTGCATGACTGCCAAAGTCTCTCTCATTCAAAGGTCTTGGAGAGAGAGAAAAATGGCTCATACATTTATTTTCTTGGAGAATAGGTGATGTAGTATTTGTGTTTGCTCTCGAGAAGAGAACAGAGGGACTTTCGTACATCATCCACATGACTGAAACTCCTTTGTCTCTGTGGACAGGTCTCTGACAGAGAGGCCTGGCAGGGCTGTAACTCATCATGCCTTCTGAGCTCTTACCACCAAGGTCCTGCAGAAGCCATTAAGCCCGAGAAGCTCACTTACTCTTGGACTGAGACACTTGAGCTGTGATTGTTGGCAGAGCTTACTTCCTCTATAAGTGAATTGCAATTTGTGGGTGGGGCAATGATTGGAGACAGCTTGAGTTAGAAGCTGGGTCCCACAGTTGGCCTTTGGCCAGTACTCAGGTGCACATATGTACACACACACAGGTAGAGAATGACAGAGAGGGACACCTGACTTCATCCTCTGGCCTCTGCCTGTCACATGCACCCCCTTCCTCATACCACATGCATATGGACACAACACAAAATAGAAAAGCAAGTACTTTATTAAAAATGAAAAAAACATAGAAAATGTATGTTGAAGAGAAAGAAAAAATGGACAATTTTCCTTCCTAAAAGAATCTTCAAATTGACCACTTTTCAGAAGGACAAGCTCCAAGAGAAAGCCAGGCTGACAGGATAGGTTGGGAAAGGGCCTTACTTCTACAATTTTATTCCAATAAATCTAACGATCTAAATGAGATGGGATCTTCCTTGGAAAACAGTACTTTTTTCAAGTTCACACATCCAGATTTGCGTTCTATGTCTGCAAAAGGAAATCAATAGCTTTAAGCCATACAGCTTGGCACCTGAGAACACTGAACAGGAGGTTGCAAATTTGGGCTACAGAGTGAGATGCTGCCTCAAATAAAATAAAGATAATGCCAGTTATGGTGACATATGCCTGTAATCCTAGCATTTGGGAGGCTGAAACAGGAAGACTCTGAGTTCTAGGGTAACTTGGGCATAGTGAGATGTCATCTTGAATGAACACACAAAAATAATAAATAAAACCTTGTCACACATACTCACAAGAAAGCTACACTAACTGTGTTTTTGATTAATTCTTCTAAACCCCTTTGAGAAGGAAAAGTAATATCAGTTTTGTACTAAATTCTTCAAGGAGTAGGAAGAAAAAAAAAAAGAGCACTTTTCAGTTCATTTTGTGAGGTCAGCCATACCCTGATTCCATAACACAAGTTAGGTTTTCTAAGTGGCACCAAATAAGTATGTGAAAGAGAACGAACGTCTTGAAGTCATTTGCATGGAATTCAAGAGTGAGTATGAGAGAAATCTGGGTCATGGGTGCCTTTCAAGGAGTGAGATGCTGACTGGATGTGCATGGAGGTATCTGGGGTGCTGGAATGCTCCCTGCCCTACCAGGTCTGTCCTTAAGAGTTTGCATAGACATAAACTTTTATTTACCTGTATACACAAGACTTCTAACATACTCTACATGTTATACCTAATGTTTTGTTCTTTGCCCATTTTCATGTGAGGTATGCATGTGTGCATGTACATTGGTGTGTGTGTGTGTGTGTGTGTGTGTGTGTGTGTGTGTGTGTGTGTGTGTGTGTGTGTGTGTGTGTGTGAACACAAATGTCCAAAAATGCCCAAGGTTGCTAAAAAGAATCATCCTTCATTGCTTTTCTACCTTAGTCTTTGAGGCAGGGTCTCTCAATCAAACCCAGAGCTCACTGATAGACTTAGTCTTGTTAGCTAGCTTGCTCTGGGGATCTCTTATCTCCAGTTTCTGATTCTGAGATTGTGTGGGCTACCATGCCTACCCAGCGTTTACATAAGTTCTGGGGAGCCAAACTCTGGTCCTCATGCTTGCATTGCAAGTGCTTTATCCATAAGGCTATATGCTCAGCCCTCTATTTATCTCCTTTACTAAAGACTCTAAACCTTGCCTGATATAACACATAGGACTTTCATTATTCTAGGCTCCTCTTCTATTACACCAACTCTGTGTGTACCTTCCTGATTACTACTCTATTCTGACTGCCTTCAGTAAAGCATACCTCTGACAGATCTGGTATGGCAGCAGGGAGCACCCTTTACCCTGGTAATGAAGGAATCACCTAGCCCCAAGTTGGCTGTGACAGGGCATCTCGTTCCCCTACATCTCACCTGCTCATTTACAGCATGTTGTTTTCTTTATAGGCACGATGGTTCTGGGAAGCATACTTCCAGTCCATTAAAGCCATTGCCCTGGCTACCCTGCAGATCATCAATGACAGGATCTATCCATATGCAGCCATCTCCTATGAAGAGTGGAATGATCCTCCTACCGTGGTAAGTGGGTTCCCATGCTAGCCACGTGAGCCATCGAGATGGGAGAAAGGAAAGTATACTACTGAGGAAAGGGGTGTCTAAATGCCAGCTGTCTCAGATGGGTGAGCACTTTAGACTTGCAGCTTGATGTGGACAACTTGGTTCAGAAAGTCTGACAAGAGTAATAGCACACAGGAGCAGCAGGTCCCCATTTGTTCTCCACATGCTTGGAAAGAGCCTATTTTCTTAAGGTCAAGGTGAGTGACACATGGGTTTTGTTGTAAGCTAAGGATGTCCTGATGGCTTTGGCACCGAGTTCCTAGAACACTTGAAAAGGTTCCATCAACAACTTGATGATGGGCTTGTTTGGACATCCTGCTCTGCTGGAAATGGCATCAGTGCTTGACATGTGTTACTTAAGTTGACATTCTCAAGGCTCTGTGAGCAAAACAGTAGTAAGCAAAAGTGATGGAGTGGCCTTCAGGATTACTAGTCCCTTGCTTGAGAGCAGCTGAAGTCTTGAGTAAGAGAGAGTGTGTGTTCAGAAGGAGGCAGAGGCACATGTGTCATTGTTGGGACTATGACAGTGGCTTATAGGCACACCTTTTTTCTCTGTGAAAATGCCAAATGCTCTGGGGTGGCAATTATGACTTCCTAGCTGCTCTCAGACACAGCTGGTGTTGTGGCTCACAGACTTCCAGTAGACATGGTCAGAGAAGAACCTCTCCATGACATGACACAGTCAGATCTCAAAAGGCAAAACAGAGGACAATTTTAGAAACTGTTAAGGGAAAATGCCAACTCATATACAAAAACAAAGGCATCAGGTCTTGGGCTGGCCCAGACGGTAGTTTTGGTAGGAAAGAAAAGAGTTATTAATAATCCAACCATCTAGAAAAACTACCAAACCTGACACACTGGAGCTCAATCTCCAGTGAGGACCAGTTCCCACAATTTGTCCCACACATTCGAATGTGTACATACACACCCACCTATCCACCCACCACAAATAATAAATAAATCAATGAAGAAGATTTTTTTTTAATTTTTAAAGAATAATATCAGATCTTGTATCAACCCTAAAAGTCAGTGAAGATGAAATGATGTATTCCAGTCCCTGAAAGAGGGAACTGTCAATTGACAATACCCAGCAAAATTGTGCCTTAGAATTGGTGTAGATGTAAGGGCAATTTTAGACAAACACAGACTGAGACAGCTCACAATGAACCAGCAGGCAATGCAGCAGATACTGACAGGAGGACTATCCGGAGGACGAAAGGCAGCCACCTCTGTGAGAGCACACAAGGAATACATTTCATGACAGGAGCAGATGAACAAAGGAGAGCCTAGAAGTATGCCATCGTGCCCAACACAGCGAACCTGTACACCTCTAATACTGAGGGAGGAGAAAGAAAAGAGTTATTAATAATCCAACCATCTAGAAAAACTACCAAGGAATGTCTCCCACCAATAACCTCAGATGCAATAATTGGCCCCACTGACCAGCTAAAAGGTGCAAAGTGGGTGACTAGATTGAAACCCAATACCCAACTATGTATGGTCTCTAAGACATACATCCCTCTGGCACAGACATTGGAAATGGAAAATCAAAGGCGGGAAATCCACCCACCAAGCCATGGGAACCATGAAGCAGCTGGTATAGTGATTCTGATATCTGATAAAGCAGACTCCAAACCAAAACTCTTCAGAAGAGATAAATACATTATGTTCTAAAAAGGGGAACAGATTATAAAGATTATATAGCAATTGTAAATATTTGTATATTGGCTCCCAATTTTATAAACACTAAATGGCATGAAAGGTAAAGACAAGTCCTGATAAGGTACTGTTGGGAGACATCAGTACTCCATTCTTAACTTTAGTCAGGTCTTCCAAACTGAAATACAATTGACCGATTGGATGTAATGGACATCTACAGACCATTGCATCCAATAGAAAGCAGAAACACATTCTCAGCAGCCATGAAACCTCCTCTACGGTCAGTCAGATTAGGTGTCTCTGAGCAAACCTAACACATTCAAAAGGCTGAAATAATTCATTTTATCCTCTTAGGCCACAGAATATAAGTAGAAATCAACAACAAGAGAACCTCAGAGGCTACATAGAACTTGCAGAGCCAACAGTATGCTCTTTAATTAACAGTGAGTTATTGAAGAAGTCAGGGAGGAAATTTAACATTCCTACACCCTGATGAAAATGGCAGCACAACTTATTATACTTCTGAGATATAGGGGAACCATTTATAGTAATTAATATTCAAATTTTAAAGAAGAAATTGGTGGTCTAATATTTGATAGCTCAGCAGTTAAGAGCATTTAGATTCCAGAGAATTCAGGTTCAACTCCCAGGGCCTTCATAGTGGCTCACAGCCTTCTGTAACTCCAGTCTCGGGGGATCTGACACCCTCTTCTGACCTCCACAGGCAAAAGGCACATACCTAATATGCAGTCATGCACATAGGCAAAACACATATATGTAAAATAAAATAAAATTATAAAATAATTAGAGCAGTGTCAAATAAGAAAATGAAATATCTGAGGTTTGTAGAAACAGAAGAAGCCAAGCCTCAATGCACTATGCCTAGATATCATAAAGGCCATGCCAGAAGTTAATGAATTAGAAACTGAAAGAACAACTTAAAGAGCTGGTTTTTTGAGAAGATGAACAAGATTGACAAAGCCCTGACCAAACTAAGCAGAATAAAGAGAAGCATCTCATTGATAAGATTAGAGATGAAAGGGAATTTGTTTACAATAGAATCCAATAAAATCTGGAGAATCATTAGGGAATATTGTGAAACTTACTTTTCAAAATGCTGAAAAAGCTGAAAATAGTGGATAGATTCCTAAATATACCTACCAAAATTAAGTATTATAAGAATCTAAGGACAACCCAAACACAATTAAAGCAGTAATGAAAAGTCTTTGTACAAGGAAAAGGCCAGGACGGGACAGATTCACTAATGAATTCTACCAAACTTTTAAGAGCTCACACAGTCCTCAAATTGTGCCACAAAAGTGAAAAGGAAGGAACACTGCCAAACACATTCTGTGAAGCCAGTATTATCCTGATACCAAACCAGATAAGAACTCAACAACGAAGCTATAGACCAACTTTCACAACCAGCAAGGATGCAAAATTTCTCAGCAACATACTTAAACAAAATTCAAGAGGACATTAAGATCATACATCACACCATAGCATTAATGGAATAAGAATACACTTGAGGACAACCTATGTGTGACACCAGTGTAGAGGATTAATATGCATAACAGTGGGTCAGCATTGGAGACAACTTGAAGACACAGGAGAGAATTAGTAGAGGACAGATTTGAGCCATGTCTGGGGAGACTGATTGCTCTCACTGGTGAGCTAGAGCCGTACTGTGTCATTTATCCTGAGAGGCCTTCTCAGTCTGGCTCTAGTCTGCCTTTCTAGCCTTCTCTCCTGCCTGCCTGCCTGCTTTGAGGAGTTCTAGGGTATGACCCACAAGTTGCTTCCTTCAAGTGTGCCCACCCATTGCTCTTCTCTTGCCCTAGTGTGCTGTTCTTTGCCATCAGTTCCTCTTCCCAGGCACTGTACTATAGCCTTTCTTCCACACGGCCTTGCAAATCTCCCCTCAGGAAGCAGTATTTTCCTCTTACGAACTCTGAAGGTGTGGAATCTGTTTCTTCCTGTCACTTAGCACACAGGAGGTATAATTTTTTATGGGGTTTTAAGCAGCTGCAGGACCCACATGCTAGTATGACAGCCATGTCCCCCACATACCACTTGCTTAGAAGGTAGGGGCATGATAGATGCCCTCTGTAAAGTAGTCTCATGGTGCATGATGGCCTGTAGCCTGTGCTAGTCACATATTGGCAAGTTGTGTAAACAAGTGAGGACCTGGGCTTCACACTGTCTGTAAAGTCCTCTGGGAGCCACTGCGCCTTCTCTGTGTGGAACATAACTCCCACCCTAGCATATGATTTAGGTTTGAACTGAAGATTCTCAAGCGTGTTCCTGTGCAGAATGCACACAAGTGTTCCAGCATAGTCAGGCAGAAAGTCTAGGAATCAGGACTTCACCCTGAGTGTTTAAATAATTAGAGTTTCAATTCTCTTTTGCAAGTATAGATTAAGGGAAAATGTGAAATTGTGTAGTTTTGAAATGGATATGCTTGGAGTTTAAGACAGAATGGTCAAAATGAGGAACTCATAGTTTGATAAAGGACACAAGTATAAAAGGCATAAATCTAGATATACATCCAGAAATGTATTTGATATTTTTCATTTGGTTCTTTCTTAAATACCTGTTCAGGGCACTTCGGTATTTATCACATCTCTAGTCAGTGAGATGATGAGATTCCTGATTTACAACCTAGGGCTGCTTGCTTCTGAGTCTTCAGTGGAAGCAACAGGCGGGAGGCTGGGTAGCAATGATTCATGTGTAGCTGACTTCTCCCTCCCCTCAGGAATATTTAACTGACTCTAGATGAGATTACTCTGAGCCCAGTCTGCAGGGGAGTCTGTCCTGTAGATTCCAGCAGATTTACAGTGTCAGACACCCGAGGTGGGAGTAGGTGTGGATGGTGCTCAGTAAATCAAGGATGCTCTAAACTGCTTAGAGGTGTGCTGCTGGCCTCCCGCCTGCTCTGTGCATGCTCAGACAGGGGAATGAGAGGTGAAAGCCGTATTTTGGATAGATACAGCTGTCTTCATTTAATATAGAAATGGCTATGGCTGTGTGTGACAGACAGTGAAGAGTGGCCGCCTAGAGCATCCATCACCAGATGTTTAGTGTTCTAATCGATAGGGTGAGGCCAGTTACATGGTATTCCACTCTCAGGACCTGGGAGTATTCCCACAGGGAACCTTGAGCACTAATTGGAAGTAGCATATATGCCTGGATTAGGAGACTGTGCTTGGGGAAGGACTTCTCTCTAAGCTCAATATGGTTAAGAGGCAAATAGGCATGGAGAGAGAGTTCAGACAGTAAAACCTGCGTGTAATCCCCAGCAC